AACCTCACGAATGCAAACGCACATCTCTGCCACAGTTTCCACGTTCTGCTGTCGCAAGTGGTACACCTTCTCCCGCTTGCGTTTTGGACGTAGACGCAATGGAAAACGCACACGGACACACCGACCTATACTGCACACTGTCGTTCCTACTCCCCACCACCCAACCAGCACCCTCCACCTGCCACCGCTGCGCTAGGCCCCGCAACCACGAGTGGGATTGGTGAAGCTCTTCTGCACAGCAGGCTGTAGGCGAACACGCGATACCCATCAGCGCATGCAACTGAACGCAGGTGCAGCATACGCGTCCAAATTTCTTTTAGGACGCAGCACGCACCTCCTGCACGGCAAAGACGCGCCGCAAGTTCCTGCCGACCTGCAGCTGCAGCACGCCAGACATTCCCTGCCGCTCGGCGATCCACGCCTGCACCAGCGCGCCGCTGCGCCAAGCTATTCCTTCCAACAGCACCACGCACGTATCTCCAGCACACCGTACATCCGTCACAGGGTTAACCCGGCGCCTAGCGCTGCTATTGCTGTCAACGCCCACCCCAAGGCACGCGCACGCATATCTCCACCACAGCTCCACGTTCTGCTGTAGCAAGTGGCACTCACCCGTGCTGTTTCTTGGGCGTAGACGCAACGGGAAACACAGGGGAACAGACCAGCGGATACAGAAGAAGAGCGTCCATCCACCGGACCATCCAAAAACCACAGTCCGCCTGTCACCACTGTCGCAGGATTGACGAATGTGTCTAACAGACAATCATGCAAGCGATGCAGGGTTGAAGGCAAAGGCACGCCGCCGAACGCAAAGGAGCCGTAGTCGCTCAAATTTACTGTGGAAACCCAAACGCACCGACTGCAGGGTGAAGGGAATCCGCAAGTGCCTGCCCACGTGCAGCTGCAGAACGCCACACCTTCCCTCAGGCTCTAGGAGCCACTGCTCCACCAGGGCGCCGATGTGCCAGGCACCCTTGCAACAACGCAACGCACACATCCGCCACAAGCACCTCGTGCACAGTGAGGACAGGCCCCAATTGCCAACCGACGTGGAGTTGCACCACGGCAGAGCTCCTTCGGGTTCAGGGAGCAACGCCGGTACAGGGGGTACCCTGTGGAAGGAATGCCGTGCAGCAATATCGCGCGTGCATCCTGCGAACGCCCTATTGTTTTCATGAGCCTGCCTCTTTGCCTTGAACTGCTACCCTTCAACAAGCGCACGCACGCCAACGCATACTGGAGAAGATCGCCCCTCTTCAGCACCTTCCAAAAACCACTCTCTCCCTACCATCGCTGTGGCCAGCGCTAGGACAACGACTGGGATTGCGTGGAAAACGCACACCGGCATCTGCATGCTACCACACATCAAAGGGATACCACATATCACTAAATACGGTTGCTGCTCCATTTTCCAGCTTCAACACTTCGAAGTTCCGAACGCCCACACAACGGTATGGGCAAACGCGTGTGCTTTTTTCACCTGCACAACTGCCCACTATAAGGAAACCGCCAAGCACAACAACCTCTGCTCGCGCGGTGCCCAACACTATACAGGATATCATAATATCTGCTTGGTAAAGCAGCCCCACAAAACGGGAATAGCATCGGGGGTCGCAAGCTAAGTTCCACTCTCGCCTACAAGGTTGGATCCACACCGCGGAGGGAAAACTGCATTCACAGAAACAAATTCAGGCATATACAACTACGACCAGACGCTTCATCCAACGCTCCTTGGTTCCCGTATCGTTAATGCAGAGCCACCGGTCCTGCGGCTGTTCGCTCGATCGGCCTCTGCAGTGCCAAACAGCTTGCTTGCGCATGGACGCGAATGTGTCTGGCGAAGCGCTGGCTCATCGACCCACCAGAACAATGGTTTGCTTAACATGATGCACTCTGTGAAACAAGCTTCCTTCCTTCACCGCCCCAGTGCTCTCGTTGTCTTCCACACCCTGCAACTCTTCTAACGCGGCAATAACGCTAGCTGCTCTCTTCCTCCCTGACCCAGACACTAGCAACACACATCCTGCAAAACCAAAAATGTGCAGCTGCTTTGAGCTTCCCTTGTGACATCCGGCAGGGCTCTCTACACGCAATAACTACGTATTAGGCACAAAATCATGGTCTCCGCATGGAGATGTCTCGCCTGTTCTTCATGCATGCAGCGTACTGCCTGCAACACGGAGAACCTGGCGGTGTCTCGAGCGTTTTTGGCTCACACAACGGCAGGAGTACAACCCAGCGAAAAGCGCAACAGTCAGGCACACTGTCGTGAGCAGCACGTGGAAAAGTCTCCCGTCCGCAGGCAAACACAGCACCCTTTGTCAAGGCGCTGTGCGTATCAATGACCTGATAACGCAGGTTCGTCAAAGGCACATTCACGCCCAAACACCTTCAAATACGCACACAACGCCGTTATCCAGTGCTACGTGCGGCTTTCAGTACCAACGGCTGTGCTTTCATCAAAAGACACTGCACTTACCTGCACATGCAACTCCATTGCGTGCTGCTGCCACACTGCGCGGGACAGCCAACTCGTGAAGCGTGTGCCTCGATACAAAATTACGTGTATAACATCGTCGCTGGCGGCATCGGTATTCTCTTCAAGGTATTCAGCAAGCCACAACACCGCGTACACAGAAACGCGCTCGTTGCTAGTATGCGCACAAGCTGCCCTTGTCTGCCACCTGGATATAAAATACAAATCCAAAAGCACTTGCAAACTACAACACGTCTGCTAGTCAACAATCGTCATAACCTGGCCACACATGCCGCATTTACACCCCTCAACTTCGAAACACGCCTAACCGCAACGCAAAAGACAGTACAAGAAGCCATGCAATTCCTTGTGCTTCCCCTGTTTTGAGTATCTTGCTACCTCGCAACGCAGTTACTGCTTCTGCCCGTTCGACCAGTCACTGCAGAGAAAATCACCTACACATGCATCGCGACGAACCGCCTCCTGCCCTTCAGGCCAACCTGTCAGCAAGATGATGCTTCACGGGTCATCCTAGCTTACATGACACAAAGGCATGCTCAACCGTCCCGCGTATCTCCCACCCAAACCGGGGATGCATCTGACGCCGCAGCAACACTCCGGGCATTGCTCTCGTCATGCATGCATGCAACGCACTGCCTGCAAAATCGAGAAGGTGCCTGTGTTATCGACTGCTTTTGTCCGACAAGTCGACAGAATGAACCGCCTGGATAACACGGAGTCAGTCACAATATAGTGAGCGGTGCATGGAACAGTAGCCAGCCCTCAGGCTAACAAGAGATTGCTGGTTGCGGGGCAGTACTATCGATCCACGGACACTAGGAAGGTTCGTAGCAGACGCCCGCACTCAGAACCACCCTAAAATAAGCAGACAATGCAACCGTGGACAGTTGCTACCATCCTTCGGTCCCAACCGCCAGCTATTTCTCAACCCGCCATCCATCACGCAATACTGCACTCACCAACAGATGCAACCTAGTCGGGCGCCACGAAAATGCTGCATGCGCCAAAACGTCGGGATGGTGCTAATGCATGATGCATCATAAAGCCACCTTTCGCGTAAACCCTGATCGGTGACAGCACCTGAATACTCCTCTGGATTTTCGGCTGAGACACTGTTGTACACACACCCAGCGCACTTCCTGCTAGCATGCGCATAGGCTGCCGAAGCCAGCACTTTTATCCAAAATATAGAGACAGGGGCATCCGAAAAGTACGAGTGCACGTTAACAGCTCGTCATATCCTGGCCATGCAAACCGTACTCCCAACCTTAACACCTCGCACCACGCGCAAACGTGGCACGGAAAGCAGCAGGAGATGCAACCTAACTCCCCGCCCCTCCCCGCCTGCCTGGTGCCTCCTGATGCAAAACCAAGCTACGCGTTTGTGCTCTACCTCTGCGAGCATGACTACACCTACAACTACACGCGGCATGTGTTTTTCAACGGCTCGCGCCGTATCCACGAAATGCAGTTCCTGTCTCTGCATGTTTGATCAGTCATCGTACCCCAAACAAGCTTACACGTGCAGCGTGACAAACCTCCCCCCACCCTCATGCCGAAGCGCTGGAGGGGCGACGCTTCACGGTCACGCTAGAGGAGAAGCTTCGTGAATTTCCCACACATCATGAGCCTGAACACCAATCTACGCATAAACCGTGGCCATCGACAGGAGCAGTATCCTATCGACAGCACCGCACTTACACACATTGACTCTTTACGCGCTGTCTGGCGCTTCCTTCCAAAACACGGACAGACGCATCAGCATGCCACGACACATCTGCTGGCCAACACTGCATCAATACTTTGTGTAGCAAGCCGCATTCCCATGCTCAACCACTTTTAACGCAACGCCCGCAAACGTGTTGCGGAAGACATCACAAAATGGCACACACACTACTGTGCTTCTACACAGGCGCAACTTCTCTCAGTGAAGAAGGCATCTAACAGAACAGTCCTTGCAGAACATCTGTTCACGTGGAGTTCAGCCCTCTACACCATATCCTTGCTAGCTGTGCAGCTGACCCCCAACAAAACAGGACGGCATTTTCGGCGCAAAATGCATCCCGCACTTGCGTAGTAGAGCGTATTTGTTAACCGAAGCCAAATGGCAGCCGGCGCAGTGATCGTCCGCGTCTACAACTACGGCCAGACTCGCCCCTTTCGTTTCCGTGGCTCTTCCACCGCCCACGCAAGCCACTCGCTGCCGCTGCAGGTTTCATTGGCCTTTGCAGTGAAAAACCCTCGCACGTGCCCGGAAATGGACGTCTGGCCAGTCTCCGGCCAAACAATCCAAGACAAAACTACTCCGCACATTGCCCAAACGTATGCGATACAAACGCAGCCTCCACTGCCTCACATTTCGCATAGTCTCACACAGCCTGTGACTACCTTTCCCTTGCACGAACACCCTTTCTCCTCTGCCTTTCTGACTTTCCTTCATCGATGCAGTGCACTTCCCGCACAGCCAGGAACATGTCATTGTGTATTGTCAACCGCGGAAGACCTCGGCGCGAATTAAATTGATACGCTGAAGAGTCAAATGATGACATTCTCTAAACGTTTTGCACACGCCGCATCCGTGCTGCTGCACAGTTTTGGATGCCGCCTTTGGATATGCTTCGACGCAAAGCGAGACAATGTTTATCTACAGCATAATGCAGCAATTCAAGCTACGCAACGCACACGGCACTGCATGCCCATACGTTGTGCAGTGCACGCGAGCTTATCCACACCGCATAGACTACTAAAAAGTCCCATAGTGATTGTCCGTGGGCGGTCGGCACACCCTACGCACTGGCTGCAAAGTTTGGTGGCTTCAGTGATGTTTTGCCTCTAGCCTTCGAACCCGTGCCAAATAACTGCACAACGTAGCACTTGCAGCAAAAAATTTCACCACATGATGCTTGCATTACCCGGCGTTGTCCCACCTCACTTCTCACTTCTGTAGTACAGCTTTGCAGCGGGAGCTTTACCAATGTTCGCATCAAACACTTGGCGTCTCAACCTCCTGCGGTGCCCAAGTACTAAAACTACACTTCCAGTTAAAGTCGACTCTCAGCTGTGAAGCTTGAAAAACACTCACAGCCTGCAGTACAGCCAGGCTGTTGTCGACGTCACCTGTACTGCTCTAGGCAAACAACCAACGCTTGCTTCCTTGCGTCGTAACTCTCAAATGTCACGCAGAGGAGCCAGTCCACCTCCGTGTAGACTGTCTTCGAACCAGGACACAGGGCTGAGCGTGGTACAAAGCACTCCCCGCTCATTCACTGAGCGCTCGTAGTGGCAAACATGTTGTACCCGCCAGGCGGGGAATGCCACCATAGCCATGTTGGCAAGATCGCTGATCCCACCAGTGCAACGCACTTCCTGCAAATTCAGATGGTCCCCTGCCGGAGACACCCTACGGCGCCAAACTATTGGAGAAGTAGTTTGGGCTTCGTCCGAAGCCAGAGACACGAAGTATTCAGGCGTTAAGTAGGAATCTCGACTGTCCCTGGCTTCTACATTCGGCGCCACATATATCTACACCTATGTCAACAGCAAGATGTGAGAATATTCACAATGTCAAGCGAGCACGTAGATGAACGTAGTGCACATTCCAGTGTGAGGCATCTGGAGGGGCCTCCTTGAACTGATGTTTGGATGTCGTCAGTGAATCCCGTTGCACTGGCTGCACGTAGTCCCAAACTGTCCTGCAGGTGTAAAGCCTAGACACCAACTCACACTTCAAAGTCCAGCAAGCGCCCCAATATTGAACAGATAATGGACGCGGTCGCACTTTCCTTGAGTCCTGCTTTCACGTAGGGCATTCGAGCAAAAATACTGTCGTGGGTGCAGATATCCTGAAGCGCTACCCGCGCGCGAGCTGACTGTTCAGCACAGGTAGTTTCCCACGCAAAGCTAGGCAGCAATTCAATGCAACCCGTTAAAAGGTCCCACCAACTTACGCTAATATCCACAAAGTGCCACTTCAACTGCTCAACCTCCTGGTGCATGAATACGCACCCTACGTCACTTCGTTTGCTTTTCCTTGCGCCTGCAAAAAAGTCTTACGGGACATCGAAATCCCCTCGTGCAACTTCATCGGAACAACAACTTCCACGCGCTCCACTCCCTGCTGAAGAAAACATAATGTGCGTCAGGAACGTCAGCAAAACCTATCTGCACTGGGTCTAGTTTGCATCGCCTTCCCTTCACATTTCATGCAAGTCCTCGGTCGGCGTTGAAGGGATGAAGTCCTTACAGGCTGCGCGGCTGTCGTGTGTGGATAATGGATTCCATTAAAACCTGCCCCAAACGATTTCGACCCCTCTGAGGTCTCATTTGGGTCAGAGAGCGCTAATACCTGCACATGTGTTCTTTCAGTACCTCAATCCTGTAGGCCCCGCGTATGGCTGCTGCAAAAATGCTCAATCGATCCAAGGTGCCTGCCGGTAGTTAAACGGTTTTACATCCGCTTAGGAAGTTAAGAGTACCCACGAAAAGCCGCTCCCTCTCCACAACGTGAACGTGCCCGCAAAGCAAAGGCACAACGGAACGAGGTATTCACGTCGCACTTTTGCGCCCCAAAATGCGACGTTTGGGCAATTTAGTTACGGAATCGCATAACTCTCATTCGACTGTCTGACTTACGCTTTGTGTATACTGCGGCGATGCACGATCGGGCGCCCACCAGCGAGACGCCCAACGTGTGGATCTCGCAAAACAGTGGATACCTACGGAACACGGATCTCCGCCCTCTGCAAGCTTGCGTGATAGCTCTCCGTTGTTAGTCTTGGTATTATGAGTCGCAAGTGCTCTAAAGCAGTTCATAACAGCAAAGAGAAGAGCTGACGTTGTTGCCAGCACGAAGACCAGTGGTGCGAGCCGCCATGCACGGTGCCGGAACCTCCCTTGGATGCCAGGATTGATAGTATATTCCAGGATCAATGAGTCTTCCATTAAATTGGATACTTGCTCAGGCAGTGCGCTGAACTTTGCTTCATGGATG